CCCGGCAGGCAGCGTTGCAAACAAACACGCAACTCATGAGCCGGCCCAATTACCTAAATGACAGGCCAGAAGGGTGATCCAAATCTTCGACCGGAAGGCTTGGCCAAGGAGCCGGCGCCCGCTTCAGACTCTGGCCCACCTCTCCGATCGGAGCGCTTGCTTCGGTCTCTAGCCCGCCTCTGGACGGTCTCTCCGATCGGAAGGCCTAGCCGAGGAGGAATGGCGCCCGCTTTAGACTCTAGCCCACCTCTCCGACCAGAGTGCTCACTTCGGTTTCAGCCCGCCTCCGGATGGCCTCTCCGACCGAAAGGCCTGGCCAAACACCGCTTCCAACTCCGACCCGCGTCTCCGACCGGGGATGCGCCAAACCCCTGCTCACTGCTCTTCTCCGACTGGCGCGATCAGAGCCGACTGGGACCAACCGACCTGGGATGCCCGCTCGGTAAGGATCAGGAAATAGACGAAGAAAGTAAGGCAGGGCGCACAAGTCAAACCACAATACCGAGGACCGTACCCTATACACCTGCAGAAATAGTACTCTGCGACCTCCCTGGCATGATAGAACCCAAGCAGTATTGTAGGCGCCGACATTTTCCGCTACAGTATTGTGGACGTCATTAACTCCCATACGGTAAGGCTCCCCCACATGCCTCTGGGCATTGATAGTGTTGTGGGCACCGGCATTTATCATACCAGGCAAACATGGTAAAACCCCTTGCATATCTCTAGGTAACAACAGTGTGGCTAGCGCTGACGTCTCCCATACCCGAAGAAGACAACACAACCTTGCACGTGCATCTGACATTCAACAGTGTTGTGGGCGCTTACAATCATCGTATACCTACCAACGTGGGAAGCAAGACTTAGTAGCAAACGTACTCTCTCCCTCTCACTTGTAAGGCCATCCCCTTCATCTATAAAAGGAGATGCGCTCTCTTCCAACAGATAAGTTGATTCAAGTTGATTCAGATTCATTAGATCGATCAAGTTCACTAGTACACAACAGCAGAACTACCAGGTTCAAACCATGAGGACACGCTCCAACACTTAGCACATAGCGGGGCTCCCGTCGCTCTTAGCCCTTCTGACCGAAGTCTGACCGGATCTCTTGTATCCCCATCTTTCTCCTTCTTGTTTGTAACCCCACTGCAAACGTCGAGCACCTAGACTCAGGAATAAAGTCACCGACCGACTCAAACTAGACGTAGGGCACGTTGCCTGAACCAGTATAAACCCTGTGTCATTGAGTGCTAGGCCACCTCTAATCACAACGTACGATAAAACTACAAATATTTACGTGTTGGTCACTTTCTGCACCGACAATGATGGTGACAACAAAAATTAACCGAGAGAATTATTTTGAAGGAAATGTGGGATCATCAAACACTGAGTTTGGTAGTAAAGGGTGGTGTTCATTGTGGAAAACGGCTGTACCTTCCAAGGTCAGGGTCTTCCTGTGGTGACTTGCTCAGTAGTCGTTGCCCACTGCAGATGTTCTAGAGCACCGAAATATGGCAAGCTCCTGTGTTTGCTCATTACGTGGAGTTGCGGATTCATGGAAACACTCTCTTGTTGAATGCAACATGGCAGCTAGTGTCTGGGCACTCTTGGATGAGGTAATGGTGGAGCATATGATGTCTATCGGAGAACCAAACGCCAAGAACTGGTTGTTTAGCCTCATTGAATCTCTACCTCATGGGCAGTTCACCCCGCTGATGATAACCTTATGGGCCATATGGATAGCTCATCGCAAGGCTATCCATGAGGAAATCTTTCAAAGTCCTTTATCCACCCATGGTTTCATTAACTCATATTTGGAGGACCTGAAATCTATTGCTAAGCCACCTAGTGGGACACCAGTTCATGCGGTTCCAGTACCAAGGCAAGCTCGTTGGATCCCTCCCCCAAGAGCTATACCTAAAATTAATGTTGATGCAGCTGTGTCGAAAACTAAGAATCGAGGGGCAGCAGCAGCCTTCTGCCAAGACAATGATGGTACTTATCTTGGAGCTTCTATAGTGGTCTTTATTAGCATCACAGATCCTGCAACTTTGGAAGCCTTGTCCTGCCATGAAGCTCTTGCTCTTACTGAAGATCTTGCTTTGAAGAGATTATTTGTTGTTTCAGACTACAAGACAGTTGTCTCGGAGATTGGTGAAGGAACTCTAGGTAGCTTTGGCTCAATCATTACTGAGATAAATTTCCGAACTGCACTCTTCAATGAGTGTAGTTTTGCCCATGAAGGAAGAGCTTCAAATTTTGAAGCACATAGTCTAGCTAGGCATACAATTTTATATGGGACGGGCTGCCATCTGTGGCTTGGTGTACCCTAATATTATTCCTGTAAACATTGTTATTGAGTAATAAAGCCTAGCTAATTGTCCTAAAAAAAGCAATTTGACATGAGAAAAGTCCACATTACATTCCTCAAGTTTTGCGAAAGTCTGTTTTTCCTCCCTGAACTCTAAAACCGGATAAACCACTTCCCTAAACTTTTAAAACAGTTTGTTTTACATCCCTGACAGGTTATAAGCGGTTTTCAAATGCAGTTTTGTCTTTTTCTTTTTATTTATTTCGGCTGAATATTTGAAAAATCATAGTAAATCACAAAAAAATCATAAAATGGAAAATCCAATTTTGTTGGACTCCACATGAGTAGATCTACATAGTGAACATATAATATATGATGCTTTAGTACATTTTTTTGTTGTAGCTTTATATCTATGCTTTTCTATAATTAATTCATAGCTGCATTTTGTATGATTCAATTATGGTGAAATTTTTATGATGTGCTAATTATTGTATGCTTGAACTGTGGTAAAAATTTCGTACTCATTGGATCATGTATAACTTAGTTATAGATTTATAAATATTTTTAAACAAACATACACCTAAATAAATCTATAACTAAATTATATATGATCCAATGAGTATGAGTTTTTTACTACAGTTCAAGCATATAATAATAAGTAGACCATAAAAATTTCACTACAATTGGACCATAGAAAAACTATGAATTAATTATAGAAAAGCATAGATCTAAAGCTATATCAAAAAAATTGTACTAATACATACCATATTATATATTTATTGTGTAGATCTACTCATGTGGAGTCTAACAAAATTGAATTTTTTATTTTATGATTTTTTGTGATTTACTATGATTTTTAAAAGTTTCGGCTGAAATAAATGAAAAAGAAAAGGACAAAACTGACTTTAAAAACCGCTTATAACTGACCAGTGAGGTAAAACGAATGGTTTTAAAAGTTTAGGGAGGTGATTTACCCGGTTTTAAAGTTTAAGGAGGAAAATCTGACTTTCGTAAAAATTGAGGGATGTAACGTGGACTTTTTCCTTTGATCATTGAGTTGATCTATGTGTCAACATGCACTTGCATCTGAAGCAACAAGATGTGTCTCATGTACTTTATACACAAGATGACTTGGGTTAAATACTTAAATTTGTGATGTATCCGCAAATGCTTGGAATCACATGCCCGTAATCATATACGTACAAGCAGAAGCATGGCTTAATATAATTTTGTTTTTTCCCCGGTTATATCCAAATTTAAATATTTGTCGTTTGCCAGAAATTTCCGTACGTGGAGTTTGTTAAATAACCGTGTGTGCACATGTAGTTTGTCAACACGTCATCATGTACAAACATTCAAGGACAGAACACTCTCAGAAAGTACAGAAAAATGTATGCCAAATTCTATTCTATTAATAATGCTGAATTGAACCTGTACAGATTCAATCATATTTCTCTAATCTCTGTGTACTGGAAACTCAAATCTGCAGATAGTAACCGTGAAAAGATTCACGGACCACCAAGCATATTACTGCCGTTTCGCGCAGCGTGCTCTCTTTTCTGTGGGCTCGTCGGATTTGAGAATTGTTGTCGACACTGGTGGCCCATAACAGCCCATGTATGAGTGGGATGCAGATTTTTTTTGGCTTGATTTTTTTATTTAATTCACTCTTTAAAAACAATATAGCCCTAGTAAAAATATGCAAAAATATAATCCTATCACTAATTGGAACAGCCAAATTTATATTTTTCTACTCCATTTGGCGGAATTTTCCTTATCGCCGAGTCAACTGCATCGCGAAGATGGAAAATGGGCACAAAGAAGAAATGTTAATCCAAAAATAACTCGATACATCCACTGTTAGGGCTAGAAATAACCAAATATATATATATATATATATATATATATATATATATATATATATATATATATATATATATATATATATGCAGATTGGTAGTTTTACCCCCTACTTTAAAGTCCATAGTCCATTATAATTTTATCCTCTTTTTTTTTTTACTTTGTAATTTTACTGTTTTTTTACGTTGTAATTTTACTTTTTTTTTTCAAAGCCACCGTTCATTCTGTTATGGACTCTTCCATACCTCAAGGCCGAATAAATGAATTAAAGAACAAGAAAAATTAAAAATAAATAGAAGACCATACTAACTGTTGACCTTATCTTAACCCTCCCGGCTTTCACCAATGGTGGATTAAGCATGTACAACTTGTTAGAGTTTGCTTAAATTTGAAATATTCAAACATTTGCTATAAAAATCCTTTAATATGAAGTCAAAATAGAGGTTAAAAACAAATATAGTACTAAAAAAATCAAGAGGAAAATTCTCATGGAAAAATAATTCTTTTTAGCTGAATTGAACCGCTGTAAAAGGATCAGGAACTTTGCTTTCATTTTGGAAAAGTATAGGCAAAATGAAAAAAATTCAATAAATAGGCAAAGTCACAATTAGACCATACTAACTGTTGACCTTATATGTGATTGATTTACAGACACGGACGATGTTATCGTAACATGTGGTGCTACTGCAATGCCAGCGCAGCAAGCTATGCAGCTCCTTATGTGCAAGGTTCTTTGATGTTACACACTGTACATGTTGGCAGAAAAGTAAAACTATATCTCTGTGTAAATCTACATATGTACAGCAATAATAAAAAAAAATTCTAGTGTCTATAGTGCCTTCTGGTCCAATCTCTCGTTCCAGTTGAGGCACCTGATCAGGCTGCGGAACCAATCACACGTTTGGTCAGATTTATTAACAGTTGGGAGCGGGTGCTGACTCATGGATATACGAACTGAATCTCCTCTTGACAGTTGCTGCCTCCTTTTGCCATCAAATGAAACCCATGCATTGCTTCTTGCCTCATCTGGTATCTGGTAAAGTTGCAAGTGCAATGGCAATCCAATAACGGTGCAAAGTTCATCAGTCAGCAAACCAAGGTATGTTGTGGGGTAAAACTTGGCGAGCTAAAATGTTCGTACAGTACGTTAATTGAGGTTGCACAGAAACAATAGACATCTCATTAGTTGTTCAGTACCTTTAATTCAAGCCGGGCAGAATCCGGAAGGATGACAGGTCTAAATGACAGTGAGTGAGGGCAGATTGGAGTAAACAGCATGCATGGGACATTTGGATGAACCTAGACAAGAAAAAACAAAATGACCATAGTGAATCACTGTTCATTCAATTGATATGTAGGTATGCACAGGAGGAAACAGTTCAGAGCTTAACACACATGAATGCAACAATACACTGTAAAAGCAAACAAACAAGGCATAGCACTGTTTCTAATTATTGAGCCTTGACATCTGCAAAGTGTTTTTTCTCCATAGAAACATGACATGGTAGACATTATATCTGTGTAACCAAAATATTGTCATTCCATGTAAAAGCAACAGCCCTATGCTTCATAAATTTGAAATATCCTTTTGTTACATGGAGCGAAAAGCATTTGAAGAGACAGGTCACAGGTGTCATCATGGCACAGGAAAATGTACTTTCCCATGTCATGATATGGTTTAAGAATGGTTATAACTTGTAAGAATTAACCTACCATTGATCCCCCTGCTGCAGTAGAATATGCTGTGCTGCCAGTTGGTGTTGCAACTATCACCCCATCAGCTTGCACCTAGATATATTTTTGAGTTAGGAAAGTTATGGAATGTTTAAACAACAATACTGAATTTATCCATAAATACTTGTACTGAACGGAATAATATAATCTTCAGGGGTAGGAGGGTTAACTGTAGCAGGCTGGCTCAAAGTGTATCTACATTAGTATTCCAACAATTAGCTGGCAGCCAACAGTTCATGCAATCGATATATTATGCAAGAAAGTAAGCAGTAACTAATGACAGTTAACTTGGAGAAAACTTGAAAGTTGGAACATAAAGTCAATACAGATACCCTTTATCATCGGACAATATTTTGAGAAAACAATCATATGAACAGTAGTTAAAAAAAGGTAATTATGGCTTCTATAGTTCAATGCAGCTGTTGACTTGGTCAAGCATAATACAGCTGAGAAAAAAAAAGCCTAACTTCATGACTCCATCTATTGAATTACAAAGCAGAAATATATAAAATAAACTATTAGATACACAGTGGCATGCAGTCACCAAGTGACAAGATGTAAAGAGAAAGAGATACATCTTTTTTCTAGGACTTTCTGAATCATACCTTAGTGATAAGGTGGTTATGCTCATAACACTCAATTTTTGATAGGTATGGATTGGAACCTCGATCAACAACAACTTCATTCAGCACATCAAACACTTTACCAGGCATTGCTTTTCCTTTACGAAAGATCTCACATCTTAGACGCATTCTAAGGGTTATATAAACTCCAAGTGTGTTGTTCCCATGGATTAAATCTCTCAAGTCTTGTCTGAAACCTTCGAACTGAGGTGAATAAAATGATAATATGCTTAGTTTCGACACAAAAGCAGCTTAGTCTGATAAAATTATCTCTGAGAGAATATTAAAACGTACATTATGTGAAGTTAAGAACCCAAGAGATCCAAGATTGAAGGAGACAACAGGTGGTACAGAAGTTCTAAATAGGTTTGACGCATGCAAAATGAGTCCATCACCACCCAAGCATGTAACAAAATCAACTCGCTCATGAAGGTCACTGATTTAAACACAAAGCACTGTTAGTAAATAGTAATATGAAAATATATGCACCTTCGCACTTATCACAAACATAAATGCTGACTTTGTACCTGGTATCTTGAGTATAGAAGGTTTGCACAAAACCATAACCTGGAATTCTAGCAAATGTATCATGAACATCAGGTTCCACAAGAACATTCATCTTTTCTTGATGATGCAGAAATGAAGCAACCTGAAAAGGAAGTGATTTGAAGTTTAGAATGCCAAATGCTATGTATTTTGCTGAACAAAGAAGAGAACTACTGCATATAAGACCATGAATTGTGTAGACAAAGTGACTATTAGAACAGCTCTGAAGAGAATTAAACTAAGACCATCTTTGCCTTTTTTTAAGATATGTTGCCAAAATTGATGCACTGAAATCTTTATCGGTTGCTTAGCCACAGTTCCAGAATCACACCAAAGATTAACCCTACATGAAATGAGATCCTCCAGTACCTCACTAGAACAGGTTATGGTATCCAATCAATGCAATAACCAGCCAAAGTCCCTGTTTGTGTATCCCAGTTCTTCATACAGTTCTTTTAGCTTTAAAGTGAAGCCCTTAATTGGCAATTGTTAATCGACTAACATGCTTCAACAAACTAAAACTAAAGAAAAACTTTAAACTATGCAAGAAACGACACATATATGTTCACTAACTAATTGTCTGTCAGGTACAGTCCTTAGATCTCTATTAATCTATTTTCCTACACCTTACCACAAAATAGTCATGTACTCGGTGAAAACAACAAAGTACCTCCAGAACATGAAACCATTTTCATGCACAAATTTCTCAAGTAGCAAATTCATTATATATGTCAAGAACCCTAAGCTTCCTTGAGATGAGTAATCCATTGATACCAGATACAAGAAATTAATACAACCTGTGTTGGTATCTGAAGGATCAAGGAAAAAACAATATATATGCTCTAAATGGAAATTTGACATTCACCTCTTTAGCTTCTTCCATGAGCTCATTGCCTAATTTCTTCAAAAGTAAGACAGTCTTTGGAGGTGATTTCCACATAAGCATCTGTTGCTGGGTACTAGGATGCGTAAAAGCCAGAGATGATTCTGTTACTTTTTCTCTAGTACAAGAAAATCCATCTGTACGCACTAGAAACAATCTCTGCTTTTCTTCTTGACTGGAGTCTAACGACACCAGTTGAAGAAGCACACATATTTCCATCAACATTATCTGATTTGTTTCTCTCAAGATAAGGGGCACCATTCTTTTCAGAAGATTTTTGTGATCCAACCTGAACCTTTCCATTAGAACTGCTCACAGATGCTCTAGTATCAACAGTAGCGACTGAAACTTCTGTTTCCTTTTCCTCAATTAATGAGGAGGCTCCATTGTTGGAAGGTTTTCCATTAGTGATACCTGAAGCAACTGATAGAATATAATCATTGTCAAATGATTTCCCATTTGAACTTTCCAGAACTGTAAACTCTGCTGCTTCATAGTCAATGGTTCCATTACGCTCTCGCGCTGAGATTTTGTTTTCTCCTTGAGACCAGCAAGCTACTTGATCGTCTCCTAGAGTTCAGAACAGATTTTGGATAAACCTTTTTGCTTCTAAAAAACTTGGTCATCTCTTTTCTAGAGAAAACATCACAGGTAGGAAATTGTGCTTTAAGGGGGTTACTCTCCAGTTTAAAGTTTGACAAGAGTTCTGCCCCGGTGCCAGGCATTTCGCCTTGTTGAGTGCTTTGATCATTGGAAAGGGCATTAGTGACCTCCAGATTATGACGAGCTGTCTCTATGTCTATCTCACATGATTCCCCATTGTTCATGGTCCTATCAGATTCCGTTATCGTACCATTTTCAGTTCCATTCGTAGAGGAACTTGGGCTGCCCGTGCGCTGCATGGTCTTGTAACTTGTCAGGACCTTACCATTCCCATTTAGAGAGTGATTTTGGACAGCCCATCTCTCTGAACGAGTAACATACTGTTTCCATCTTGAGACCATTGCAGACGTCCTAGAAACACCTTCTTTGCTATGGAGATAAATGGGCTTCTTTGCACCATCTGACACAAGAGCTGCAAATTGCTGAACCTGTTCAGCTGATGGTGCAGTTCCAATCTCAACTGGCATATTCACCACCTCTATTGTCCCAGATGAGACAGCTTCCTGAACTGCTGAAAGGTACAAATCATCTTTAACATCTTCTTCCCAGAGATCAACAATAGTTTTGAATCCCTTTTCTAGTAGCCATGCCAGTCCCTCCGCACTGACTTGCCCTCCCCTCCAAAATGCAACCTCTAGCTCATCTGTTCCTGAATCATCTGACACAATCGAAAGGTACACCGGAAACCAATTTGCAAATAATGTCGGACATGGATAACCATCAGGCCTTGGGAAACCTGCATCGTAACAAGCATTCTTCAACCTCTGCATCTTCCTCCACACGTCCAATCCCCTGGGCTCACTCGGTGCAAGGTAGCTGGCAAGCGCCACCTGCATACTCTCACAGCAGCGCTTCATGTCTCCACGGAACAAGGCGAGCGGTGGGATCCTATCAGAGGTGCTGTCCTCAGATCCCTGGAAGGCACTTGCAACACCCGACCTCCCTGAGAGCACCTCATTCCTTCCCCAGTTCAGCAATGCCAGCATGCAGCCAAGGACAGCAGCGACCTTGTCTTCCAGCACTGGCAGATCCTCTGATTCCACATCATAGCGTACAGGACACTCTCCTGTCTCTGGATCACAGAGTGCTGACATGACCGCGGTGTGGAGCTGCTCAGCAGCACGGAATATGCGGCAGTAGGCCTCAATCTCTGCGATGTCTCCGGGCACTGGACCGATCCACAACAACTGGGACAGGTCCCTTGTGTGAAAATTCTACAAGAAACCATTCGATCCATCAAATACAGCATCATCGTCTCATCCATGAGAAATGGAAGTAGGAATACTGAATACAAAATTGGCATGGAGCTATAATGCAAGCAAACAAGAAAGGAAAGCCAACTCATGTCTAGCATCATATTGTACTGCAGGACAAAATTCCCCCCAAGAATCAGGATAAACTACTTGATGAGCAAGTACAGGCCAACAGCTATATTTCGTACAGAACTAGGAAAGCTACTAATGAATGTTGTAGAACTAGACGCTGTCAAGACTCCAGAAGAGCGTTCGACGAGATGCTCTCTGCTCCCTAACTGTTCGACGAGATGTTCTCTGCTCCCCAACTGTTCGACGAGATGCTCTCTGCTCCCCAACTGTTCGACGAAATGCTCAAGAACGGTGAAGGAGGACCAACCAACCTGGGAATCGAGCCCGATCCGGGAACCGAAGGACGACGCCCGCGCGGCGACGCCATGGCGCGCCGCCCCCGCCGCCGCCGATCGCCACCACCACCTGCCGGCTACCCAGGCGACTCGCACCCCGCCGACAGACGCAGCCGGGAGCTTGACGGGCCCGTGCGGCGCGCAGACGTCGAGCATCAAGCCAAGCGCGGCGCCGGCGGCGGGAAGGAGGGGTCGGGGCCAAGAAAGGCCGGAGCTTTGCGCGGGGGCAGCTACGAGCTCTCGTCGAGGGAGCGCGGCAGCGTCGATGTCGTGGTGGATGTTGTCCCGGCGAGCGCCCCGATGGCATCCACAGGAACGGGAAGCGAGGGCCTAGAGATCAGAATTGACTGGATTGTCGCGGCTGGTTCGTGAAAAAAGCCGTGGCCTTTGAGGGAGGGGCAGTGGAATCGTCGAAAACAAGGGGTGAAGATGAAGGCAGCTGCGGCAGGTGCGCCATTGCGATTGTGTGCACACTTGTTCCTCCTGCAACTGCCAAATGGAGCACAGTAGAACATACAGTACACAAAAAATGTTTGGAAACAAAATGTGGCTGGAAAAAGGGGAGACGGAGGAAAGAGAGAGAAATGGAACCATGAGTTGAGATGAAAAGTGGAGACGGAGGAAAGAGGGGGAAATTGAACCATGAGTTGAGAATTTGAGATGTGCGAGGTCTTTTTTGTGATATTGACGTTCTTGGCGGGTTGCTAAACGGATGAGATTTGAGTTTGTGGGGGATCCCGATCGTGGACCACAATGTGTGGTTGAGTTTCTAGATTGGTCTGGGTTCTGGTAAAATGAATGCCGTAGGGAAATGGTAGATTAGTTTTGGTTTTAGGGATTTTTCTTCAAACCTATCTTTGATTTCAGATTTGTCAATACAAATAAGTCTATTTCGCAACCTAACTTTTATAAGCAAGTTTAGATGCTCGTTAATTCGTGAAACCGTCTCTTTTTTTTAACACCTTTCAAACAACTCAAATAGCAACCTTGGTTCAACATTGTTGGTATAAATTAATATACATAGACTAATCCGCAAGCGCACGGATATTATGATATAGACTTCACCGAGAGTACCCAATTTTATATCGAACTCGAGGAAACGTATGTGAGAATAACCAAATCTAACTTATCCCAACTCACAATCAAGGCTAGATAATAGGAGCGTAGAGGAGTCTACTCAGGTATTTTAGTTCTAACTTCGGTAAACTTTGTCTTCTATTGTTCGATTCTGGGAATAATACTAGAGAAAACACAGACAGAGTATGTTTTTTAGAGCAATACTGTTCTGCTAGTCCTATTAACGTGAGGTGGACTACAAAGGATTCAACGAGGCTATAAGAGTCACTTTCGCGAGCTACCACCGATCCGAAAAATAGGGTATATCTATGAGTAACCGAGTCTAAGCACCACGCTTATACTACGAATACTACTTTAATCAGGAGTTACAAGGATTAAAGTACTCAAAAGAGAGTCACAAACCTGAAGAATAATATGAATAAGATGCTTACTTGAATTAGAAGTCGATTACCAGAGAAATCTCAAAAGCAAGCTCAAGAAGAACTTGATTCCGCCAGGTACAGGCCGTAGAGGGAGCATCGACAGGCCATGACTCCTCCATAACTCTTCCCTCACACTCTATCTTTCTATTTCTAGAACAAGACTAGATCCTATGTAAGACTAATCTTCTCCTGATTGCTATGCTCTAATTCTGGTGGACATATGGAATTAGGGTTTCGCTCTTCAGCTCTCAGGATCAAATGAGCAATGCCTCCTAGGGGGTGCAGGCCTGCTTATATAGCCCTGGGGGTGCAACGTGAGCCCTTGGATCAAATCAACTTAAGCAACGTCCTAGATGTGTCCTCAATGGCGGTGGGAAACCATCCTTAGAAGATGACTGATAGGTGGGTCCCACAGGGGCTGACTGACCTATAGGTGGGGCCGGCCGGCCCCACCTAGCGGTGTCTTGCCCTCCGCTTCGGTGACGTGGCTTCTGGATCCTTCTAAAGTCTTCCCACGTAGGTGCCGCGGTGGAATTCCATATTTTCCTTTTGACGATTAGGTCCTCCCTGGCGGTTTTCTGATTAAATTATGCTAGAAACACAGATCCACCAAAACTCGTGGAAATTTGTTAGTTTAAACCCCTAAGACTACTTTGGTGATTCATTTATACCCTTTTGCATGTTTAATTGATGGTTAAATGTGTATGATAACTACCGTCAACAAACATCACCTTCTAACCTTATTTGGATACATAACCAACTCATACTAGACTTAGAAACAAGCATGCTGACAATTGAGCTTCACTAACATTGAAATCAACCAAGTATAGATTCTCATATCTAATGCCTTTGAAGATCAAATTAGAGCCATCTACACTTATGATCTCTATATCATCTACTCCAAATATGCACTTGAATCCAATATCACATAATTGAGCCACTGATAGTAAATTGAAGTTCAAGCTCTCTACTAGCAACACATTAGAAATGTTCAAGTCATTGGATATTGTAATCTTACCGAGCCCCTCGACCTTGCCTTTGCCATTGTCACCAAATGTGATACTATCAAACCCATTGCTATCATTTGTGTTGATTGAGTTGAACATTCTTGAATTACCGGTCATCTGTTGAGTACACCCACAATCAAGAACCCAATGCTTTTCTCCGGCTTTTTAATTGACCTACAAAAGAAGATCAATTCTTTTTAGGTACCCAAACTTGCTTGGGTCCTTGAAGGTTAGTCACTAAGCCTTTTGGTACCCAAATGGCCTTCTTCTTCGGGCCCAACATGGATGTATCAACAAACTTAGTCTTCACATCATTGGCACCCTTAGTAAGCAAATAACAAGAATCAAACTTAACTAAGGATACAATAGCACTTTTGTTCTTGTTCTTGCAATCATGCTCTTTATGACCAACTTGCTTGCAACTAGTGCAAAACCGACTATTGTTCTTCACAAAACTAGTCTTATGAGGAGCAAAGACTGCCTTGCCTTTCTTAGGGTATAGCCCAATCTCTCTTTGTAGAGAGATGCTCTTTGGCTACCCAAGCACATAAGCAAGCGGTCCTCACCACCATTGGCTTTGCCTAAGGCGAGAGTGAGCTCATTGACCTCCTTCTTTAAGGTCTCATTCTCAACCATAACTGAGGCATCACAAGTGAAACCATCACTCATAAGTGAAGTAGTGGTGGTGCTAGATGAGCTATAAGAAGGGTTAGCGGGAGCAACAACAATAGGCTTATAGAAAGATTCATCAATAATATCATATGTTAAGCCTACGTCACATGTTACAATTACTCTCGTATTTTGCTCAACAAGAGTGGAATGAGCCTTTTCAAGCTTAGTGTGAGCCTTGCCAAGCTTCTCATGGGCATCATGTAGCCTCTTATGAGTAGCATTGAGCTCATCAAAGGCTTGCTTAAGGGCTTTTAGTTCCTTACGCAAGTCCTTGCATTCCCTTCTCTTGATGTCAAAGTGAGTCTTAGCATCTTCAAGCATGTCAATTAGTTCATCTTTAGTTGGTTCATCATCATCATCACTATCACTTTTATTTTTATCATTGTTCTCATCACAATCATCAATGGATTGTACCTTAGTGGCCTTAGCCATGAAGCATGTTGATGGAGTGTCAAAGAGAGAAGGCTTCTCATTTATGGCAATGCTTGCAAGAGCCTTCTTCTTGATGGTCTTGTCATCATTACTATCATCAACATCATTGGAGGAAGCATCACTAGCCCAAGTGACCACATATGAACCACCCTTCTTGTTCTTCTTGAAGGTCATCTTGTCTTTCTTCTCCTTCTTCTCCTTCTTGTCCTTCTTGCTCTTCTTGTTGTCATCATCATTGTCACTATTGTATGGACATTCTGTAATGAGATGATCCTTGCTATTGCACTTGAAGCACCTTCTTGCTTCATCCTTGCTCTTGGATGATGACTTCTTCCTTCTTGCATGATAGCCTTTCTTCACCATGAATTTACCAAACTTCTTCACAAAGAGAGCCATCTTCTCATCATCTTCATCATCAAAGCTAAAACATTCATCTTCACTTGATGTGTCTTGCTTGGCCTTGCCCTTGGATGATGATGTGGCCTTGAATGCCACACTCTTCTTCTTCTTATCCTTCTTGTCATCTTTCTTCTCCTTGTTCTTTTCTTCCTTCTCATCATCATCTCTATATGTGTCATCGGTCATCACATCTCCCAACACTTGGTTGATGTCATGGTGTCCAAACCACTCCTCACAAGAATAGTGACCAATCCGCCAAATCTTGATGGCAAGCATCTCAAGAACTTATGGGAGATGTCCTTGTCCTTCACCTCCTTACCAAGTGCTTTGATATCATTGACAAGTACTTGTAGCCTATGGAACATCTTTGGTACACTCTCATCATCGTTCATCTTGAAGCTAGCAAACTTCTTCTTGAGAATATAGGCCTTGGCGCCCTTCACCGCTTGAGTGCCCTCAAATGATTCGTCCAACTTCTTCCATGCCTCATGAGCCATCTCAATGTTCTTAATTTACTCAAATGTCCTCTCATCCAAAGCATCATTAATTGTACTAAGAGCAATGTCATTGTTTTGGAGCAACACTTCTTCGGCTACGGTGGGAGTCTCCGGATCAGCTATCTCAATCTTGGTCTCCACCACCTTCCATACCTTTCTATTGATTGACTTGATATAGGTGGTCATCTTTGCCTTCCAATATGAGGGCCATCAAATTGGGGTGGCTTCTTGGTGTTGTTGATTTGAGCCATTTTGACACTGAAGGTTCTTAAGCCTCAAATCACGGTGACCACGGTTTCGATACCAATTGAAAGGTCCTAATGGCTAGAGAAGGTGAATAGCCTATTAAAAAATTCTATAACAACACTAAGCCAAGTGGTTAGACAATTATGAGGCAAAGCAAGTGTTGCGCTAGCCTACTAAAAATACAATCCTCCTATCCACAATTCTAGTTGCTATGATCTCTATTTCACACAAGGGGCTATGTCACTACTCTCTAAGTTAGTGAGCTTTCAAAGACTAACTAAAGAGCCTCACTAACCAAACTAATAAGACATAAGTTAGCTCTAAAAACTAAATACACTAAAGAGCTTAGCTACACTAGAAAAGTAAATACAAGAAAGGTAGTGATGTTTATACTGTCGTGGCAAGAGATAACCAATCAACCACTAGAGAATCCCATGACAAAGATGACACAATGATTTATCCCTGAGGTTCACTTGCTTACCAGCAAGCTACGTCCTCGTTGTAACGATCCACCCACTTGGAGGTTCATGCGCTAATAGGCATCACACGCCTAACCCGCAATCGGGTGCCACACAACCAGCACAAGATGGGGATCCATAAGCTATGAGCAATCTACTAGA